AATACATAATACAAATATTTCTTGGTGATTATTTATGATATATGCATTAATGATAGGAAAAGGCTCAAGAGTTAACGGTTTGACTAATTTTGGTTCCATTCTCCATTCATCTTTCCTGCTCATTTTTCTCTCCTTTTCAACTTTGGAAGGAAAGAGTCAATGGTTTTTACCATCTCTTTGTCTGTCCATCTATTATTTATCAATCTACATCTTGGGTGCCTATTGTTGTTGTATTGATATTCTATCTAGTGCATATTGCAAACTTCAGAGAAACAGGCCTTAAGAGCTTACTATCAGAAGGCCTTGATTTAGCAGATCCAAAGGGAAAGGATTTTCAGGCACAAGGGGCTTTGTTGTCTAGTGAAATAACAGAACAAAGAAAACATAGATGAGCTAAGAAAGTTCTGAAAAATAGGAAGAAAATAAGATATTTAATTCATGTTGTCAAATTTCTGAGAATAGAAAGAAAATTGATGTCACCTCTACAAACCATATAGTTTCCCAAAGAAGTTGCCTCTAATGAAATCTTCACTGGCTTCAAAGTTGTCTTTCAAAGCACTGTTTTACATTGGTGGAGCCATTTTATACTATGTATTCATAAAATACTTATTTTGGAAGTCTCACATTTGGGGAATTTCATCTATAAGAAGATACAGGTTCATTGGATTAATAAAAGTATTATAGAGCAAAGATGTAACCATCATAAAATTAGTTTAAATATTTTACCTACTTATCGATCAAATCATTGACAAAAATAATTGTATGAGTTAGTTACTATTATAATGAATACATGAACCCAAGGTAACTGAGGTTCAGGGAGTTTAGATAACTGGACTAAGGATCACAGCTAATCTATGTGCCAGAGTTAAGATTCAAGTGCAGATCTGGAGAGATAAGAAAAGAAAGAGTTACAATGAAACTACAAGGGGTAGGGGAGGGGTGGTGCACACACACATGCAGGGTTGGGAGAGGGAGATTGGAGGAAGACCCAGACAGGCAGATATAACCCGGGCAAAAAGAGATTGGTGAACTTTTGAACCCTGCTGGTATACAAAGCATACAATCATACCCACCCACTCAATTCTGCAGGTAATACAATCACAGTTCTCAGAGTAAATAATGTCTAATCCCCCTGGTGTGTACTTCAAATAACTTTATTTCATTGGTATTAGTTCCTTATTTTTTCAGTTGTTTCTAAGTTGTTAAAATATTTGTTATCAACAGTATTACTTTGAGCTTTTATGCTTTTAAAGATAAGGACCAATAGTTGAAGTTTGCAATGAAAAACATCTACTAATATACTAAGAATACAGAGTTGCCTAATTTGTGTTTTTTAATTATAACGGCATTTTCTGCTTCTATTTCCCAAATGTAAATTAAATGTTTGGTTATTTAATTTAATGTGAATTAAATAATTTGGGTAGGATATAAAAATTGAATAAAATAATTCTTTTTAGGGACAAAAAGTTACTTTGTTACACCTTTTACTTCATAGGGCACAAATAAGAGAGGAGAAAAGCAAACGCTGCCTTGTTCTTCTAATACGTTTTTGTCTACCTAGCATAATTTGCATGTTCATTGTATTTTATCATTTTTATAAACCACTAGTACTACTCAAATTTATAAACTTGTACCAAAAAATAAAATAATAATTTTCAGAGAAACTATAGCTTAATGAACATCTATTTTTCCTCCTCTTGTCTTTATCAAAACTTTTACCAATATAGGAAAAAAATCACATATAAGAAATTGTGATGATTAAAAAGATGTAAGCACACTGGAAAAGAGTAATGCTAGCTAAAAATGCTAATGTTTACCAATTGCTTCCTACTTACCATCATTTGCTGTATATTATTGAATTTCACCTACCTATATCCCTTCCCATTTTGCAAATGAGAAAAAAGAGGCAAAGAAAAGTTATTTGGCCAAAATGACACAACTAGTAATAGTAATTAATTGTCAGAGATACAAACCTTACAGAAGTCCACGTGACTTGACGTTCTTTCCTCTGTGGAATGTAATCCTTTGTAATTTAAACAAATAAAATTATATTTCCAATTCAATGCTCTTGGTTTTCTGCTTAAACTATTTGAAAATCAAAAATAATAATAAATAAAACTATTAAACTGTTATAAAGTAAATGGAGGGATTTCTCTATAATGCATGGCATTCATTTTTTTGTCATACAATGTCAGATTTACATATAATTATAGAATTTATAGTATAGGACACTGTATATTACAAAGTTGGAAACAGTAATTTAGAGGTGAAACAGACACAGATGAGTTGTGGTAGAAGATACTATACTCTATGTAGCTCAAAAATATTAAAATTTAATGCATTAGCATCCCTATATTGAGTAAATTTCATGTTATATTTAAGGATATTGAGAAATTATATTTGAAGAATTTTATGAAACATATTCATGCTTCTGGAGCACTAGGGTAAATTAGTTATCCAGCATACCAGTGTGAAGCAATTTGGGAAAGCATTTAAATTATATTTCTGGAAAATATGTAGCTGCTTTCATACACACGGACAAACACACCCCTAGTATTTCATCCTATATAATACATATTTTTTATTTATGATATAATTAAATGTGCAAATATTTT